TGGTCTGAGAAGATACAAGAAATAATTTCTATTCATTTAAATTTGCTGAGGTTAGACTTGTATCCTAAGACGTGATCAATTTTTTTTTTTTTTATTGAATGGTAACTATGTACATTAATGCACTTCTGGGGTACAGTGTGGGGTTTTCACATGCAATCTAAAATACTTCCATCAAACTGGTCAACACAGCCTTCATGTCATTTTCTCAGTTATTGCTTTAAAACGTTCACATTCTACTCTTAGAAAGATTCACCTGTACCCCTATAAGATAAACCTCAGAAGTGATCCCTCCAAACCCCCTCCCTCCACCCAGTCCCCCCTCCCTTCTCCCTCCCCGCTCCCCATATTCTTGGGCTATTTGGTTATAGCTTTCATATAAAAGGTATAAATTAGTTTCATAATAGGGATGTGTACATTGGATACTTTTTTGTGGAGAATGGATACTCCATTCTCGTGATACTTTGCTCAGAAGACGTGATCAATTTTGGAGGATGATCCATGAGCTGATGAGAAGAATATATATTAAGTTTTATTAGGATGAAATATTCTGTAGATGTCTGTTAAGTCCAATTGTTGTAGGGTCAAGTTTAAGTCTATTATTTATTTGTTTAGTTTCTTCTTGGAGGATCTATGCAAAATTGCCATGGGGTGTTGAAATCTCCAACTATTGTAGAGTAGGAAGATATCAAATTGTTCATATCCATTCGGGTTTGCTTTATAAATTGAAGAGCATTCTGGTATGTTAATTGTCAAAATTTCTTCATGTTGAGTGTTCCCTTTGACAAATATATAGTGTCCATCCTTATCTTACCTTATCTTTGTTGTTTTTAAACCAATTGTATATGCAAATAAAATTCCAACATCTGCTTTTTTTCTGATTTCCATTTGCCTGTATTATAGATGTCCATCCTTTTACCCTGAGTCTTTTTTTGTCCTTTAAGGTAAGGTGAGACTCTTGTATTCAACAGATATCTGCCTTAAGTTTTTGTATCCAGTCAGCCAACCTGTGCCTCTTTAGGGGACAATTTAAGCCATTCACATTAATTGAGAGTATTGATAAGCATGATAGTGTTTTGGTTGTCATGTTTTTCAAATGTCTGGTGGATATTTTTAATCCTTTCATCATTGTGGATGTTAGGTTTTATTCAAGGCTTTCTGGGTGAGTTTACCTTGGTGGTAGACCATTGTGCTGGTCATTATGGAGGATGGGTCTGGGAACATCCTGGAGTGCTGGTTTAGTTATAGCAAATTTCTTCTTATGTGTAAGTTGTTAAAGTATTTGATTTATCCATCACAAATGAAACTCAGTTTAGCTGGATACAGGATCTTAGGGTGAAAGTTATTTTGTTTTAGGAGATTGAAGTTTGATGACCATCTTCTTTGGTTTGAAAAGTTTTGGCTGTGAGATCTGCAATCATTCTAATGTTCTTCCTCTTGTAGGTTATACTTTTCTTATGTCATGCTGCTTGCAAAATTTTCTTCATATTAACTTTGGCAAAGTAAATTACAATATGTCTAGGAGATGCTTTATTTGGATTGAGTCTTCTTGGGGTTGTGAAACTGTCTACTATCTGAATTTTTGTCTCTCATGCAATGTTTGGAAAATTCTTCTCCATATTTTGAAGCAGAGCCTCTGTGACTTTAGGACCTTCCTCATCTCCTTTAGAAATTCCTATAAGACAAATGTTTGAACTTTTGGAGTGGTCCTACAACTCTCTTGGGGAATGATCAGTTTTTGCTCTCCATCTCTTTGCCTCTTTGGGCATTTAGGAGTGTTCAAAAGCTGTGTCTTCAATTTCAGAGATCCTTTCTTCTGCTTGTTCCACTCTATTATGGAGGGGATTCTACTGTATTTCAGAGCTCCTCGAACAGCTTTTTCATTTCCTTGAGCTCTGCTATCTCTTTTCTCGTTGAATCCATATCTTTGGAGATTTTGTCTTTGAATTCATTGATTTCTTGAGAAAAATTTTGCACAACTCTTTGGATTTCTATTTCCATATTTTCTTCCATTTTATTCATTTTATTAGCCATCCATGTTCTGAATTCTATTTCTGATATTTCAGTCATTTGTTTATGAATGGCATCTTCTGGCGTATCTCCTGTGTCGTTCCTTGGGGAAGTTGATCTCCTCTGATTATTCATGTTGCCAGAGTTTTTCCTCTGGTTCCACCCCATGATTATTTTTCACAGTTTGGCTAGTGAAGATGGCAGGGTAAGATTGGATTCAGGGCTCCAGGTGTTATAGTTAACCAGCCCTTTACCAAATAGCTGAGACTAGTGACTGTGACTTTTCTACTACAGCTTTACAAAGGTCCTTTTTAGTCCTGCAACCAGAGACTCTGAGGACCTGATTGGTGTGATGGGGCTAGATAGCTCTGTCTTGTTTTCAGCCAGCCTCTCTCCAATCCTAATGAGTCAGCAGATTTGGGCTGAAATTTCAGCTGGGAGAAATACAAGCAACTAAGACACCCTGCTCCCCACCAGCAACAACTGTAAGAGGAAAATTAGTCTCTCCCAATACAACACAACCAGGGTCACCTTGGAGGGTTCCTGGGTGGCCAGTCCAGGTCAAGAGTTCCTAACCAGTTATCTCAGGCAGCAAAATCATTTCTTAACTGGGAGAGCTCAAAAGGACTTCAGTAACCAGGCAGCAGGGATCCACTGGCAGCTCCATCCAGAAAACTTGAGAGCCTGGAGTGTGGCTCCCTCTGATGCTAATGGAATCAGGAAGGCCCATTAAGCCAAAGAGTCAGTCCAGGAGGGTTGGTGCCTCCTTTCCTGCCTTACACCACAGCCATGCCCCAGTGGTAACCCCATGGGGCTGTTACCTGGTTCCCTCCAATGAGGAAATGCACCAGGGATATGCACCTGCCAGAGTCAATGGGGAGTCATTGCCTCTGCTACCAGCAGGCAACCTGGAGGGGCTCAAGCCCAGCTCCCTCCAGTGCTCAAGGGAAGCTGGGGAGTGTTCCACCAGAGCCTATCCCTAGCTGGTAGTTACCATTGCAGTGCGTATTTCTTTCCCACAGAGTCTGAGCCTCTGTCCAGCTGCACTATGCCTCTGGTACCCCTCTGAGGCTGAGGTTCGGCTCCTTCCAGTGGTCCACAGAATCAGGGAAATGTCTCTAAAATCTGACCCTGGTAGGAGCACCATCACTGCTGCCACACCAGTTGCCATGCCCCCACTCCCCTTGCTGCCACTGCCACTATATATATCACTGATGCTACTACTGCCATGCATTTTGGCAGTGCTGTGCCAGTCCCTCTCTTCCTGCATCGCCCAACTTCCACTCGAGCCACAGTTTCAGCGCCGCTTCATTGCAGCTCACATGAAAATACTTGTTCAACTTTTATGTTGGGCAAGAGAATGCCCAGGCTCACAGGTGGGACCTCTCTGGAGAAGAAGTCCCAGTGTTCAGTGGCTCTCTCCCATGGTGTAAAACAAGAGGTCTTCTATTCAGTGCTCACTTGTAGAGAGCACACAGTGAGCCACTCTCTTGGGGGAGGGGACTCTTCTGGGCTATGGGTTTTGTACCTGGTTTTGTTTCCTTGGAGTCGCAGCTTGCCTCAGCAGGGATGACATGCACTCATCCATCCTCTCTCAGCTCACCTCCCAACCTTTAGCTTCACTGAGTTCATTCTGACCGTTATCTCTCCCTCTAGACAGGAGTGTCTGTTGGAAGCTGGCTCTAGTTGGCCATCTTACCTTGGAGTCTCTCTGAAACTTTTAAAAATCAGTATTTTTTATTGGAAGAACTTCCCAAGAGCTGGTAGTCTTTCTAAACTGGTTACAGTTTTGGAATATCAAATACATTATTAAACTCTAGTTTTTAAGAAAGATATGTACATACATAAACATTAAATATAAAAGTGTCACCAAAACTGTGAGACGTCTTTCTACTTCCTTTAGTCAACATAAAGAATTTTAGACTGCTTTACTTAAAAAAAAAACCTCTCCTATGTTACATGTTAGTATTAGCAGGTTAGTACTCCTACACTTCCTCACAGGCTGGCATGATTATAATTTTTTGTCTTGTCAAATCTTATTTAGATTGTTTAAATGTCTTCATGTGTTCTCATTTCCTGTGTGTACAATTGGTCCCTCTCATACATTTCTTCTTTCAATTTCTTCTTTTTTAATATGCATCCTTTGAATTTCCTTTAGAGATAGTCTGTTAGTGGTAAATCACTTCCCATTAGCTATCTGTTTATTTTTTGTAATTTGTTCCTTCCTTTATTCATTTATTCTACCAATCTCTTTTGTCTTCCAAATGTGAATCTGGGAATAGAAAATAGAGCGATGAATGAGACAGATGAAGAACCAGCCTGCATGGTACTTAGAATGTGGTGAACTACGGAAAGTAGGGCATAAGCCAGTGTCTAGGGAGTTGTGGAGACACTATAGAAATGTGGGTTTTGAGCATCTGTGTTCTCATACTACTCCATACACACACAGTCACAAAAAAGTAACTTAAGAAGTGGTTCTTATCCTTTGATGATTAATATCAATTATCTTTGCTCTGATTTTCATATTCCACATTATTGCTTCTTTGGGACTCAAGAAAAGAATACTTGCAGTAGTTCAGGCAGTTCCAAGTTATTGCTAAATGAAACTGTTAGATTCTTATCTTCATCTTTCAGTCACTTATATCTAATTTCTAAAGACAAAAATTTATTTTCATTCAGAATATTCAAGGAATGTGATATAGACTCTGAAGTGTTAGCCTATTTGTTAAAAATCATTTTAAATGTTCACACCTTATTTATGAAATATTTTAGATACATTACATTATAAAATATAGATTACTTTATATTTCCACTTTGGTTGGTTGTATATTCAGGATTTAAACATAAACTAATTGGATACTTTTGAAATTCTTACTAATATGTGGTTACTATTATGCTTTAAATATGTAACACTATGATTTTAAATTATGAGATAATTTTGTGAAAAACTATATTTTATATGAGTTATGATTGTACACATTTCTTTTTAACAGTGGGACACAACTGGGAGGTCTGATTACAGTACTGTGCTACTTTTTCAACCACGGCGAGGTTTGTTTTCTAGAAAATATTTTTTAAGAAATAGAAGGGGCTGTCTAAGAATAAAGAAATATACCTATCCAAGCAATAAATAATTACTTTACTGAATTCACAGAATTTTAAAGAATCTGTGTTGTAAGTTGATATTGTAGTCATGTTGATCTAAATTTTTAAATAACTAGAATTTAAAACATGTGAAATATCTTGCCTGGTCTTTAATAAGATATATATATATATACACACACACACACACACACACACACACACACATATATCTCTGTCTTCAGTATGTCACATATATTCTATAGAAAATATGAAATACTGTACTTAACCAAGTTCAAGTACCTTACATACTTATCTCATTTACTCCTACAAACATTTTTAGGGGGTGGTTGTTATCCTCACCATACAAGATGCTAAATTGAAATTTAGAAAGATTAAATTACTTATCTAAGATTCTACATTCACTACGTAATGAAGCTGGGTTTCCCATTCTGCATCTGTCTGGCTCTAAAACTTCATCTCTTTCATTTTCAATATATTTAACTTAAAAAAATTGTAGTAAGAACACTTAATATGAAATATACCCTCTTAAAAAAGTTTAAGTGTATAATACAGTATTATCAATACAGTGATGTATGACAGATCTCTAAATATCAGTTATCTTGCCTAACTTAAACTTTACACCCATCGCAACCCCTTTAACAAGGATACATGGGGTCCTCAGGTCTGACAGCAGGCATGCAGTCCAGGCATTGCATACCTGAACCGTATGCCCTTGCTTCTAGTACATCATGCTGCCTACTCAATAGCATAAAATGCTGAACTCATAATGAAAATTAACTTACTAATTCCGCCCGTGGGACATAGTCCACCCAAAAAGAGCTCATAGAAACTTATTTTTAATACAATAGATTCATTCAGCAAAATATTGAATATGTACCATGTGCTTTAGTAGAAACTGAGAATATGACTGAAAAGCTAGATCTTGCTTCCAACTAGATTTTGGAAGCAAAATATTGATAAAACATAGCACAAATTATATAGGATAGAAGTCTTTTTATCCCATTACTGTTGGGTTAATTTTAAAAGTTGTTAAACATTTTAGAAGTCTGCTAGACAAAGAAGTCTTGAAACTTATATGTAAAAATGCCTTGCATACATTATTCTTACCTTAAAGCAAATAAACGCACTGTCATTCGACAATGTATTGATATAAAGGTAAGGCTTTTCTTTCAGTATGCCAAACAACTGCTGGTATGAGTTGACTTTCTTAATAGAAATCATACTTTATCTTCTAACATTTATAAATTTCATTTCTTGGAAGAGAAGCAGTAACTTTTTAAGACTACTACAAAGTAGTAAGAGTTTGGGTTCTTCCTAGAATTTTAGGAGTTTTGATATATAACTTTTATAATATTCTGCCCCATATGTCTTAGAAATAATTTTAATGAGATTTAAATGAATACTTTCATCACTTTTATCACATTTATGATTTCCAGATAATTCTAGTTTTCAAAATTTATGGTCAGCCACTACTATTGAACATAGTGCTGGAAGTTCTAGCTGACACAATCAGGCAAAAGAAGGATATAAAGGGCATCCAAATGGGGACAGAGGAGGTCAAGCTCTCCCTCTTTGCCGCTGATATCTTATGCTTAGAAAACCCCAAAGATTCAACCACAAGATGCCTGGAAGTGATCAAAAAATACAAGAATATCTCAGGAAATAAAGTCAACGTCCACAAATCAGTAGCCTTTGTTTATGCCAATAACAGCCAAGTTGAGAAGCTAATCAAGGACACAATTCCCTACACAGTAGCTTCAAAAAAAAAGAAAGAAAGAAAAGAAATACCTAGGAATTTATGTAACAAAAGAGATGAAAGACCTCTACAAAGAAAATTATGAAACTCAAAAAGTAGTAGAAAATATTAACAAATGGAAGAACATACCATGCTCATGGCTGGGAAGAATCAACATTGTTAAAATGTCTATCCTTCCCAGAGCAATCTACAGATTCAATGCAATTACCATTAAAATACCAATATCATACTTACAAGATTTGGAAAAAAAAATAGTTCTTCATTTTGTATGGAACTAGGTAAGACCCTGTATAGCCAAGGAAATTCTTAGTAATAAAAACAAAGCAGGAGGCATCACTCTACCAGACTTTAGGCTATACTGCAAGTCCATAGTGATCAAAACAGCATGGTACTGGCACAAAAAATAGATACATAGACATTAAGAACTGAATAGAAAACCACAATATGAAACTAACGTGTTACAGGCACCTGATCTTTTATAAACCAAACAAGAACATACACTGGGGAAAAGAATCCTTATTCAATAAATGGTGCTGGGAGAACTGGAAAACCAGATGTAAAGGACCAAAACTGGACCCCTGCCTCTCACCATTTATAAAAATTGATTCAAGATGGATAAAAGATCTAAATCTAAGGCATTAAACAATAAAAATCCTTAAAGAAAGTGTGGGGAAAACACTTGGAGATATTGGCATGAAGAAAGATTTTATGAAGAAGACTTCTGTGGCAATTGCTAACAGCAGCAAAAATAAATAAATGGGACTTAATTAAACTGAAAAGCTTCTGTACAGCTAAGGAGACAACCAAAGCAAATAGGCAACTTTTAGAAGGGGAAAAGATATTTGCATTTTACGAATTGGATCCCATTTGACCATGCAGTCCCACTACTAGGCATTTACCCAGAAGAAAAAAATTATTTTACCATAAGGACCTTTGCACTAGATTGTTTATTGCTGCTCAGTTTTATAATCACTAGCTAGGATGTGGAAACAACCTAAATGCCCATAAACTCAGGAATGGATTAACAAATTGTGGTACTTGCACACCATGGAATAGTATTCAGCCATAAAAAGATGGTGACTTCACATCTTTTGTAATATCCTGGATGGGGCTGAAACTCATTCTTCTTAGTAAAGTATCACAAGAATGGAAACACAGTTATCCAATGTACGCAATACTAATATGAAGCCAGTAGATGATTCAGTGCATTCCCAAATAGGAGAAAAACTCATTTCAAGTCAAGTGAGGAAGAGGAGTAATAAGGGAGGGGGAGGAAATTGGGGTGTTCTCACTGAATGGGCATGGGATGTGGGGGTTGGCACACCTTCTGTGTGTGACATAAGCACAAGACGAACTCTACCTAACAAAATCAAATATTTTGACTTGGTTCTTTGTACCCTTACATTAACCTGAAATAATTTACTTAAAACTAAAAAAAATTTATAGTCAACTCTTTTTAATATAAATTTTACAAATTCAGTGGCAGTCTTAACTACTTGTAATGTGTATCTATACTCACCTAAATAACTCGTATGTATAAATTCTGTTGGTGTTTTCAAATGTCCTAGGTGACATTTGTTTTAAGTATTTTCCATATATATAGATCCCAAACCTGCTAGATGGGAAAGCGGATCTGGTTTGTCAGTCCTTGAGTCCTCATAGCACCATATACCTACCAGCTTGTTTCCTTTGGGTTTTCTTTTTCTTGTCTAATATCTCTTGACTTGTTTCTGGAGGTAGGAATTAATCACTCTTAATGGCCCTATGTATTAAGAGAGCACCAAAACCTGAGAAGCCATGCCAGGCCCTCAGAAGTGGATCTAGTAAGCCTAATATTAAAATGATTAAAACAAGTCCACCCCTAGTTTCTGAATTAGCAATGTTTGTTGTAATGGAACATAATGTAACAGAACGTAATATGAAGAGAGTGTTTTGCTGATTTCAGGCCACTCGTGTGATGTGGACGCCACCTCTCCGTGAAAGTTTTTCATATCCATTCCTTGTACTTCAGATGTATGTTTTAACTTTGATCCTCAGGTAATTTTTATTTATTAAAAAAGCCAAATAAATTGTAAGTTAAGTTTATTAAAGTATGTTTCAAGCTATTAAGTTATAATCTCCAAATTTAGGCTACTGTATATTTTAAAAATAAGTTGTGTATAGAATTAAAAATATTTAAAATTGCTATCCAAGATTACTTTCCACTTAGGAGTCCAGGCAAAAAGTTTAAGACATCTACATCATGTTTTATTGAATTAAAATGTATGTGTTCTTAAATAGTTTGCAAAGATTGGAAGATTTTGAGAAACATTTACTTTTTTTCTTTAAAGTTTATATACTCTTACTCATTATTTGCCAACCTGTGAGTTTGATGGTGCATAGACATATATGCCATGGAAAAGGCTTCTAAGTGAAATAAACTTGAGAAGTGCTGGGTTGGTGAGTAAAGAAGTATATGTACTCACATAATTATGAAGCATTTTTGAACAACTGATATTTCTAGCAGTTTAAATAGAGTTTCATCTCATCTCAACTTTTTTTTTTAAAACACATTTTCTGATGGGATTAAAGTTTGTAACCATTTCAGAGGTTTAAGAGACCTGGGGAACAAAACAAAACAAGTAGTAGAATACTATAATTAACTTTACATTGAAATAAATTTAATAGACTGCTAATGAGATCTCTCATTGAATGAAATAATTAGCACTATCTCCTCCAAACTCCTGAGGAACCTTATATTTTATTTACTAGTCTCTGGCTTTCTTTCTTGAAAGTGACATTTGTCAATCATTGTCATACACAAATATCTACATATACACATATATATTTAAAAGTCCCACTGGAAACAGGGACCATACATATTTATCTCTTTAACCACCGAGCACTTCACACACAGCAATGTAAATATTTGTGGCACTGATATGAAGTCGATTGAATGATGGCAAATAGTGATGGGTTTGGGTGGTTACAGACCTTGAGAATGGAGCAGGCTAATTCCTGATTTGTTAGCACCTGACAGGTATAATTTTGAGGTTGAAATTAGACTTGGGAGTCTGCTCCCCATTGAGATTTCAATATCTTTGGTCTACACATTGACTTCTCTCAGAGATTATGTAGAAGGAAGTTGCCCCTCCCCTATTTATTCTCAGTTAAATTCCAACTATGAACAGGTAAAATTTTGCTTTGAAAACTTACATACCGGCTCGGCACCTGTGGCTCAAGTGGCTAAGGCGCCAGCCACATACACCTAAGGTGGAGGGTTCGAATCCCTAGCCCAGGCGCCAAACAACAATGATGGCTGCAACCAAAAAATGGCCAAGCGTTGTGGCGGGTGCCTGTAGTCCCAGCTACTTGGGAGGCTGAGGCAGGAGACTCGCTTGAGCCCAGGAGTTGGAGGTTGCTGTGAGCATGATGCCATGGCACTCTACCCAGGGGGGATAGCTTGAGGCTCCATCTCAAAAAAAAAAAAAAAAGAAAGAAAACTTACATACCATTGTGCAAGGATTTATCAAAATTCAATACAAACTTTATAGAAAGAACAGTTATGGTTTTATTATTTATACAAAATGTTTACATTTATTTTTACATATTCAAAAAGATACTAAAGCCCTCTGTGGTAAATGATGTTGATTACCAATATATCTGATAAATGATTAAATATACCAATATATCTGATTAAATATAATTACCAATATATCTGATGTATTATATCATTTATATATAAATGATGTTGGTTCTGCAATATAGTTGTGTAGAATTGGCAGTTTAATCTTTAACATGCAGTACTTCAACTGAATTCCAGAATTATTTTTTAATTTGTTATTTTAGATTTTATTTTTCTTAATTGTTTTCATAGTTGTTAACTTATTACTTCATCTGCATGTATACTTGTCTTCAATGTTTTTTGAAACATGACAGTGGTGCTATATAAAGGCCGTTGCAGCACATCTGGAATAAGCATTTGAGGCATGCAGGGCCAGAGTCATGTCCTATTTTCTGATCTTCTTCCAGAAGTATTAAACTTCTAACATCATGAATATTTAGAGGAAAATGAACTTTTATATTTAAAATATTTTATTTAATGGTAAATTACAATGTTGTTGTTAATACTCTAATTTTGATTGCTTTATGCCAGGCATTATTATTGTCCAAGTATTTTAAGTTCTTTTCATAAACTTTTAAGAATTAACTATATTTGTTTATATTAAATATATCTTAGGTTCTTTTTAGCAAACTTTAAGAGTTAACTATATCTTACATTATAGTAAAGGTAGGGGATCATTTATTTTGTCATTTTGCAATTGGTCTTTCTTTTCAATGATAGGCTGCTTTTATGGTAAAACTTATTGGTATCATTTTCTCTATTAAGGAACGCAAACAATTATGGAAGGAATTACATTGCACTCTGTCTTTCCAATGTTGCTTTTATGCTTCCCTGGCAGTTTGCTCAGTTTATACTTTTTACACAGGTAAGATGATTTTTACCTAATTTAAGTTGAATGAAAGGTGTACTTGGTTGTTTCTGTGGATATTTTTAACTTTTAGGACTTTTATGCCCTAAAAGATTTTCAAATATGGAATAATTGTAAAGTTTATGTAAATGTATGATTTGAAAAAAACAATATGATTCTATATTTTATTAGTGTATTGTTAGATTGATGGTTATTACTGATGAACATGTAATAGACATTTTCTGTCATTTTTATTCACAAATGTTATTCTGGTATTTCAGATGATATCTGTATATCCATCTATTGATTTTCCTTTCCCTAAAAATTATTCTGGGTGCCCAACTTCACAGCATGCTAAGGGCCATTCATACTCTTCATGACAGGAAGTTTAATTTCTAATCTAGCTAATTGTTGGCCATCTTGCCTGAAGAGCAGAATTTACTAGGAACCATTTCTGAGAGCCTTAATCATAATTTTGCTTAGTGAATTGAGGCCATATCTTATTTCCAAAACAACTGAGTAACTAATGGCAAGAAACTGAACTGAGGTGGCAAAGGGTAAATGGAAGATTTTAATGAAATTTCATAATACTAAAATTTTCCATCAGAGCTCCTTTCTACCTCACAGACACTGATGACAATAACAGTGGAACTGATGAATTCTTCCAAGAAGCCTCATGCTGCCAATTGTTTACAAAGCATGAAATTACAACCTCAACTTAACTGGTGCTGCATGTTTAAAGTATTCCTTCTGCTTTACTTCTTAATAGTTGGCCTCTTTCCCGTTATAACACAGAAATTTTGAATTTTATTATATTTACATGCCAGCATAGAATATATTTTTAATGATCATCACTTAATTGCAAGCAAATTTATGTGTTTGATTTTGTACTAGTAGAGGGACGATTCAAAGTTAGTTTTCTGAGGATATTATTTTATTCTTGATTGTATTTTCATAGATTAAGATTAAATTTAGTTTATGTCTCCTAAAAATATTGTCTTATAGATGGTTGTTAAGGAGCCAAGGATTAACTACATTTCAAAGGAATAAATAATGAGACTATTCTATTGTAGAGACCTAGAATATGTGGGGTGATAAGACCTCAGACATTATTATTCTTAGACACTGAGAAATTGTGACTTAATTTTGGTACCTGTATTCTAATTTATAATGTGTTCTAATTTTGTTATATTTATTTGGGAATTCTCATTGATGTAGGAGGTACTGTTATGATTAAGAAAATAGAAAGGGATAGTTACAGAAAGAAGATGTAAAATAAACACTGATAGAGATATAAATGATTTTCAGAAGTACTAGTATTGATATGTTTATACATAAGTGGTTATCAACTGAATTTTCTTTCTTTATATGGTTCTTTGTTTGGGGTACACTGTAAGTTCACATTCTTTTCAATATTTAAATTAACATGAACAGCATGTTCCTTCTATCCTTCTTGTAACAAGAATATCTCCTCCATCCTTGGAGTTTCTCTTCCTATCATTGGCAATTTATTTGAGGAAGGATTAGTACTATAATCTACTAGAGCCAGAAGTCAGACAGCTTAAATCTGAGGTATCCTGTAACCATCAGGTATTCTGTGTGCTATGGCAGATGCCAAAACTTTGCTGTTAACAAAGTACTCTTCCCTTGTATGTGAGAATTGGACTATTTGTTAACTTTCTAGGTCTCTTCTCTTGGCAGCCTGTTAATATGGTATGCTCATGGTGTTCCTAGGCACATTACTTAATGGTTGTCTAGTTGAATCTGGACTGGGAGAAACTGTTACTAAGATCTACCTGAGAGGGATGCTATAGCATTGGGGTTTCTTGAATGAAGTAACTTTGTAAATTGGCATTTCCCTTATGGAGGCTTCTGTGAGTTAAGGAGCTCCCAAGCCAGAATGGCTTCTGCATCTGTCTGATGTGCATGATGTGTCTTTGCCCCTGAGCTGTCACCTGGAGGTGATGCTGCTGTATGGACATTTGTGAGGACTCTCACTGAAGAGAACCATTTGAAGCTGCCTTGCTGACAAGGCATGTTACCTGTGCTAAAGCTTTCTGAATTAACCCGAGGCCAAGTGTGAATTTAAGAAGACCACCTGGTGGGCAGCACCCTAAAGAACTCTGATGTACCTTTTGGACACAGAGACCTTCACAAATAGCTGCAGGTGCTGGCTACTCCTCATTCAGATGGATGTGGACTTTGTGTTTTCATTTACAAGTGGCACAGCTCTTTGTTGTATAACTATGGTCATTTTGTATCATAGTATGCTTGTAGAGCTGAGATAACTGAACCAAGTCAGAAGAGTTTCTGCCTGCCAAACTGACCTTCTAAGACTCTGGTGCTCTGATGTTGAGTGAACTCACAAGTTCAAAGTCCTGAGTGCTCTCTGGTCTACATGTCATGTTTGTTTTTCAAACTCTTTGGGGTCCTGTCTGACAGTTTACCCAGAGCAGGATTACACTAGTTTCTTAGAACTATTCAAATTTTGGTACATCTCAAAAGAATAATTTTCTATACAGGAAACTCTTGGATAGAAAGCCCTAAGTCTTTCTTGTTCCTCTTCACTGAATTTCACATTTCATACACTAAGAATTGGACAAGGTACAATCTTTGTCAGGCCAAATACACCATCCATTCAAGAGCATTAGGTATTGCTCTTCTAAGGGGACTCAATGTGTTCTCTCCTAGAAATAAGTGCAGCTTTTCTTACCATACATGCCAACTTCTTTCTCTAATTTTTTTGTCTGACCTGGCATCCTGTTACTTATATAAACTCAGATTACTAGTTGATTTCTCTTTGTTAGTTTGATAATGTTTTATTGTGGGAACAACATACTTAAAATATAGGTTAAATTATCAAATATAAACTAAGGAGCAAGGAACTAAAACTTAGCTTACAAGGAGTGATAGAGTTTCAAATCCTTATAAACTATTTTAAGATGCTTACTCTTATCTCTGATTTCAGAAACAAAACTTGTTCAAGGGCTTCAACAAATTACAAATTCTCATTTGTTTTCTGTAAATAAAATTTTAACCTACCCTTAGTTGTACTTAACTTTGAGGCCAGTATCTGCAAAGTATAATAAAGTCTCAACTAGAGGCAAGACTAGAAGAAGTCAGTTCTCTATATTTTCACAGCAGAATATCAACTCTACTGTTTGTCTAGATGAGGGGGCTCTTTTCAAACAGCACTTCAAATAGTGACATTTCAAAAACTTATCTGAATTTTCACCTGTGGAGTGTATTTCTTGGTCTAAGTGATATTTAAGAAGTATAGTCTAGATTTGCATACCCTAAGGATATTCCTTCATGAGAGTTCAGAAAGGGAGATGACCTTTGGCAGCCCTCAGTATTGGAGTTTATTTCATTCAATCATTAGTCCAGTGAGACAGGTGTTATTAACTTACTCTTACAGATGAAGACACAGACACTCAGGAGATTAAATTAGGACTGCCTCACTATGAAGCATCTACACTTTCCAATTTGTTTCTAAATATGCATAGGGGACTTGGAATGCTTCTGTATCAAAGATTACACATTTAAATATATTATCTTATTTCCTTACAGAAATGCCTTTAGCTTTCATGCAGTATTGATAAAAAGCACTCATTTGAAGAATACTTATATGTTTCTCCTGAAACTATAATTCACTAATTCTAATCTATTACCTAATTGCTTTCCTCTATAAGAATTCTTATGATGTACTTCTCATAATTACTGTCAAGATTAATTTTCCTATAGGAATTTGTGAATTTCCTCGTAACAACTGTAACTATTTTATTAAATGAGCTAGACTCAATAGGAGACAAATAGGAAGAAACTGTTTTTTCTCCCGGTGTCCCTGTGAAAAAGTCTGTTTCCTGGACTTATTCCTTCCGAAATTTAGATGAAATTTAGGAGTGGTCCCATATATTTTTCTTTCCTATTCAATCTAAATAAAAGTATCATTTCATTAAATAAAAATTTTACATCTTCCAACCAAAGAATGTGATATGTACTACCACTTATTTAGTTCTTGTTTAATTTCTCTCAGTTAATGTTTCATTGATTTTTTAACAGAGATCTTAATGGATCTTTCATTAGGTTCTGAAATATTTTCTATTTTTGATACATTTAAGAAGTTGGATATTTTGCATATGTTAGTTACAGTTCTGGATATGTTAATTGGGCCAAGTTTGTTAATTATACTATTCACGTTTTCTAGATTTCTATTTTTCTTTATTTACTTCAGTTACTAGAGGAAGAGTGTGTTAAAATTATTCACTGTAACCATGTATCTGTCTATATCTTCTGCCAGTTTTCTGAATTCTTTTTTTTTTTTTTTTTTTGAGAGAGAGTCTCACTCTGTTGCTCTCCATAGAGTGCTGTGGAGTCACAGCTCACAGCAACCTTCAACTCTTGGGCTTAGGCGATTCTCTTGCCTCAGTCTCCCAAGTAGCTGGGACTATAGGCACCTGCCACAACACCTGGCTATTTTTTGTTGTAGTTGCCACTGCTGTTTTAGGTGGCCAGGGCTGGGTTCGAATCTGCCACCCTGGGTATATGGGACCAGTGCCCTACCCAATGAAGCACAGGCACTGCCCACCCAGTTTTCTGAATTCTTATCTTAAACATTTTGATACAGTTGTTATGTACATAGTTGTTATATAGTTCTTTTATTTTTATGAAATGTGCCTATTTATTGTTAGTAATCTTTTTGCCTTAAAGCCTCACATCATTATTATTTTCATTGGTGTCTGCATAGATCTTTTACCATTCTTTAACATTCAACTTTTCAGTATTCCCACATTTTAAGTGTTTCTTTTATAAGCAGTGTATAGTTAGCCTTTTAAGAAAATCTTAAGTATTGTAATATTTTAATTGGATCATTTAATCTATTTGTTATTGATGTACTGTTGTTATATTTAATTTGAGCATTTTACCAAGGTAATTGCTTTCTGTTTGCTTTCTGCTCTGTGATCTTTTTTTTTCTTTTGTAGTTGAGATTTTATTGGTTGTGTTTAGCATCAGACATTTCAATCTGCACATAATTCTTAACATACATATCCCAAATCTAAAAAGGCATTTATTGTAATTCTTTTTTAAATGGTTATTCCAGTGACTTTCCAGATTAAAATTTGGAGGCAAATTTTCCTTAAGAGGATATCAGGTACCAATATCTTCAAATGTTGATAAGCTGTTATGTAAGTCTCACCAGTTCACAATTTATTGCCATATATGCTACATACTCAAATTTTCCTTCCTTCACAGCACATTAACAAAATTATTAGGAAAATAGGACTCCCACAACCAAAGATGTTACAGAGTGTGCACTATTCTGACAGGGAGAGCCATGATCACAGGAGTGGTTTTCCTTAGGAAACAATTCTACTAAAAAACAACATGGGAATAGAAGTAATTTAAAATGCTGAAGACATTAAATGCAGGGCTGGGACTCCATGCTGCCATTCGGTATGCTTTTTATTATAGAATATAATACTCCCCCATCTATGGAATGTTAAGCTCACACCCACAACAGTCAAAGCCTCCCATAATTCAATATCCCACACTATTTTCTTGTTGTATCAAAAAATAAACAACCAGTGAATGATTTCACTTCTTAAAAAACATTTTTACACTTAAAAACAGGATGAGGTAGGATTCTCTCCTTCTTAAAAATGTTTCTAGAGCTACTAAAAAACTTGCATTTACCAAACAGTTGATAAAAATATTCCTCTGGATTGTACGAGAAGGGAGACAGGGGCCATTGGCATGGTGTATGATATTAATCAGACTTGGCTTCTTTCTCTCCTGCTTCATCAGCGCTGGACTCTCAGTTTTAGTTTCTCCATTTCCTGCAGGTAAATCTTCTTTAGTTTGTTGGTTAGCCACTTCAGCCTGCTTTCCCTTTGCTCCTCTCCCTTTGCTCCCCTTTGCCCTTTTGGTTGCACTTTTTTCTGAAGATTTATCCCTTGCTGTTGCCTTTTTTGGCTTTGTTTCCACTTTTGTAAGAGCATGTTTAGTTGACAGCTGCACCTATCTCCTCCTGAGCTTTTCCTTCCCTGTGCCTTGGGCAGAACTGACCTTCCACTTTGGTATCTTGGCAGCAGGCTGGGTGCCTGGAGAGCCTTCACGAAGGGGCACTGCCTGGCCGCTGCTGCTCCTCAGTCAAACCCTTTACTCTCCTGTTGTGTCTGTAGTCTGCCATCTTGCAATGCAGCCAGATTTTTTTTTTTTTTTTTTTTTTTTTTGAGACAGAGCTTCAAGCTGTCACCCCCAGTAGAGTGCAGTGGCGTCACAGCTCAGAGCAACCTCCAACTCTTGGGCTTAAGCAAGTCCCTAGCAAGCAGAGACTTTCAGAATCTCAGAGATGTCATCTCCGCTGTAACTAAACTGACAACCTTCTTTTTATTTACCCCACTTAACCGAAACCAGGGAGCATCCCTGAGACTCTCAGGAGCCTGGTGGAAAGGAGTTGAGGAGGGATGAAGCCAGACAATGACCCGGAAGCAGAAGCGACTCCCATAGGCCTAGTGCTGCTGAAAGGCAGCAGAGACCATAGCGCAGGAAGGAGCTATTTGTCCATGTACAACCCCAAACTGGAAAGAAGATACTAATTAAAGTGCACAAGCTGACCGGGAAGGAGATTGACATTGACATTGAGCCCGCAGACTAGGTGGAGCGAATCAAGGAGTGTGTAGAGGAGGAAGAGGGAATCACCCCACAACAGTAGCAGCTCATCTGCAGTGGCAAACAAATGAATGATGAAAAGACTGCAGCTGACTACAAATCCTAGGGGGGTTCAGTCCTCCACCTGGTATTGGCTGTGAGAGGAGGAGGTAGTGCTGACTACAGATCCTAAGGGGTTCAGTCCTCCGCCTGGTATTGGCTCTGAGAGGAGGAGATAATCTTGGGCAGTGATAGCGACACCGGAATTTCGCTCTTCAGTAGGTTCTTGGTCTCGGGCATTTGAAGAGTGAATCCGCGGACCACAGATGAGTGGTAAGACAGGATTTATTTATATAAAAGAATACAGGAGCGCCAGAGCTCCTGGCAGAGAGAAAACCCAAGTCGAGAGAGAAAAGCGCTTTCTCTCTCTGTCTCTCTCTGGGCTCTTTGTCTAGGGGGATATGTAGTCACGGGGGGCCCTCTGTAGTTACATTTAGCAGGGCTAGGTAGTTACATTTAGTGTGTTGGTAGTTACATTTAGCATGTTTGGGACCCTGTAGCTACATTTAGCGTGCCTAGGACTCTCTGTAGTTACATTTAGCGAGTCTAGGACAGCATGTCTGGGCGGTGTCTGGGACATGAATGAATGGCTACAAAGCCTTTCATTCCCGGGCCTAGGAAACTTACATGAAATTGACCAGGCCAGGAAAATGAGGGGTTCCCTGTTCAGTCTAAGTTGCTGGTGTTGGCCCAGCAGTTGTTTGGCCCCTCTGGCTACTGGAGCCTCCTGCTGGCCCCCACTCCCCCCACGCCACCCTCCAGCCTGCTGGTTCCTCTGCTGCCTGCCACCGCATCAACACTGCCAAGGCAGTGGCAGCTGGTCCATCCTCCAGCTCCAAAAGCTGGCTGGAATGCCACTTGTCCTGTATGAGTAGTCCCTCCATTTTACCTCCTTACCCTATCTGTCATAATGAGGCATCATATATCCTCTTATTCTCTGGGACACAGAGCCATTGACCCTTCACCTGGATGCTTCATGTTGTGTGTCTACTGGTGGGAGACTGTGAGGACCGCAGCCCTTGCTGGCTATTGGGTTTTAGTTTGCAATCCTGTGTGCTTCCTTCTCTTATGGCTATGTCCTTGGTTGTCAATAAAGCATTTCCTGTCCCCTCCCCCCCAAAAGGGAGTTTATTTGAGGATATTAACTTCCTCCAGAGAAGATTAAATTTGTTTCCAACAGGCAAGTAAAGGCACTAACAATCTTGAATCACTTTTATCCAATCAGATTGAGTTGATCATTAGGTGAACTTCAGTCTTTATGAGGGCTGCTTGACTTGTGGTTCACTCTTAGTGTAGTCAGTGCTTTGAAGCTCCAAACCCAAGTCTGGGGATTTACCAGACATCCTCTTCTTCAGTGTGCTGTAGCAGCTGAGCCATTGAAATGCTTGCTCAGCTTGTTTGTCTTTCAACTGCCTGTCAACTGGCAGGCCTCTGCCTCTCCCAGTTGGCAGATTCCTTTAGGGAGAAGTGACCCAAAATTTCCTTGGTAACTTGCCTTGTTAATAATCTGTGTTTATATATTTTATATATATAAATTTTAATATGTTTCATTTTCTATTCATGTATATGTATATATATTTTCCCTAATTAGTCCAGTTTTCATGGGAAAGGTTGGTTCAAATTAAATGCCTGGCATTCTCATAAGTGTAACTTTTTTTTTTTGAGACAGAGTCTCACTTTGTCACCCTCGGTAGAGTGTGGTGGCATCATAGTGCACAGCAACCTCAAATTCTTGGGCTCAAGCAATTCTCTCGCCTCAGCCTCCTGAGTAGCTGGGACTATAGGTTCCAGCCACAGTGCCTGGCTATTTTTAGAGATGGGTCTCACTCTGGCTCAAGTTGGTCTCAAACCTGATCTCAGGCAATCCACCTATGTCAGCCTCCCAGAGGGCTAGGATTATAGGCACGAGCCACCGCAACCGGCTATAATTCTTACATTTACTTTGCTTATGCATAGTGAAGTGTTTGTTCTATACATTTGTTTTACTTTTGCTGTTCTATATTTTTATTTCAGATAGCCTCATTATTTCCCATGTATATTGTGGGATACATTGAACCAAGCAAGTTTCAGAAGATCATTTATATGAACATGGTAACATTTTTAATATTTATACAACAAATACTAAAATAAGTTCTGAGAGTTTATGAAATGTAACTGATTGTTTTATGGGGTACCTTCTCTTTGGTACTATTTAATACATACAGTAACATGAAGGAAGACTAGAAATATACATTATAGATGTTATAGCAAATTATACTCTCAAGTAAACTGTAGATTTTTTTGTATTCTTTAGAAATTTTTTATGTATTGTTATTGTCACTACTTTTGAAATTGCCTTTTCTTTCTCAGACCTGAGATTTTTAGCACTTTCCATGAATATTACACTCTATCTGAAGTTTTGTTGTTGCATTTTTGTTTTTATCTTAGTTTTCAAACATGTTTTCCTTAAAAAGTAAAAAATAGTGGGTGGTGCCTGTGGCTCAAAAGGGTAGGACGCCAGCACCATATGCTGCAGGTGGTGGGTTCAAACCCAACCCCAGCCAAAAAAAAAAAAAAAAAAAGTAAAAAATAGTTAAGCTTCACAAGTGATGGAAATTCTACAGTAATCAAAAAAAGATTAGTGAAACTAATATTTATAACTCTTATTATCTTCATTATTAAAATTATAGAAAGCATAATTATTTTTATTTTTTTCAAGTAGAAGATAGAGAAAAACATTAATTCTGTCGTAGAATTTATAGTCTTGAATTTTATTTTATTTTATTATTATTTTTTTTTGAGACAGAGCCTCAAGCTGTCTCCCTGGGTAGAGTGCTATGGCTTCACTGCTCACAGCAACCTCCAACTCCTGGGCTCAAGCGAGTCTCCTGCCTCTGCCTCCCAAGTAGCTGGGACCACAGGTGCCCGCCACAACGCCCGGCTATTTTTTGGTTGCAGCCATTATTGTTGTTTGGCGGGTCCAGGCTGGATTCGAACCTGCCACCTTAGGTGTACGTGGCTGGCGCCTTAGCCACTTGAGCCACAGGCGCTGAGCCTATAGTCTTGAATTTTAATACTTAGAAGCTACCAGCAACTTAAAATTCTATTGTTTAACCAAGATTCAAATAGAATTTATGTTAGAAATGTCTATATGCCTCCAGATAAAGTAGGCAATTTGCCATATATGTAATAACTATAAAATATGTGGGTTTTTTTTTTCAGGCTTCAGTTCTCCTTTGTTTTATTTTGATGTTTGGAAATCCAATGTACTTATCTTCTTATTATTCTTCATCTTTGTTAATGACGTGGGTAAGTGTTAAGTTCTTGAAATTTTGTTTTAGCCTGCAAAATACCAGCTATTTACGTGTTCTAATGAAAACGTTTTTATGTTTTATGTACCTGTAGAGTCTGTAATGGTATTTCCTTTCTCATTTCTGATATTAAATATTCATGTCCTATTTTTTTTTTGATTGGTCTGGTTGGAGGTTTATTAATTTTACCGATTTCTCTCAAGGAAACAGCTTTTAGTTTCGTTGATTGGCTCTACTGTGTTTTGTTTTCAGTTCCATTGATTTCTACTTAATCCTTACTACCTTAGTTCTTCTGCTTACTTTACGTTTAATTTGTTCTCTTTCTTTTTCCTGTTATTTTAAAGGTGCAAGGTCATTGAGACCTGTTTTTTTTTTTAATATAGATGTTTAGTGCTATTAATATCCCAGATATTTTCATATAGGGCACTTTTATTTTTCACACATTTTTCTGAAACATATGATATAGATACCTCAAAAATATTATTATTATTCTTTAAATAGTCATCTTTGTGCTGCATGAAAGGAGAGAAGGTTAGCACTCCCCTTGATAAGGATGGAAGAGGCCCTCGGGCCTGACAACCACATATGGTTAAGGCATTGCCACCTACTTCGTGGCATCTAACCATCGTTTTTAAGCTATAACCCAACTATAACCCAAGATGAAGGGGAAAGAGGAGAGGGAGGAGGAGGGGATGGGAGGAGGATGGGTAGAGGGAGAGTAATTGGTGGGACCACACCTATGGTGCATTTTACAAGGATACATGTTAAATCTATTAAGGGTAGAATATAAATATCTTAACTCAATAACTAAGAAAATGCAGTGAAGGCTATGTTAACCAATTTGATGAAAGTATTTCAAATTGTATATAAAATCAGCACATTGAACCCCGTAATTGCACTAATGTACACAGCTATGATTTAATTAAAAATTTTTTAAGTCATCTTTTAAAAATATTTAAACATAAGTAATCATATATTTACCCTGTACTTGCTATTCCAGTGCCTTTGAGTTGTGTAGAGATAGTTTTACATTCCTTCTGTTTGAAAAAACTCTTGTAACAATTGCTTTAGTGAAGATCTGCTTCTCATGAAGCATTTTGCCCTCATTGTTGAAAGGTATGTTTCCTGGGCATAGAATTATAGATGAACAATGTTTTTCTTTAATAATTTAAAAGATGTTGCTTGACTGTTGCTTACATATTTTTCTTGAGAAATCTTTTGACATACTTGTCCTTTAATTCTCAGTACATATCATTTCTTATTTCTCTGGCTGTTAAGACTTTATCACTTATTTTGAGCAGTTGGTATATAATATGTATTACTATAGCTATCTTTATATTTCTTGTATTTGAGATTCAGTTGAAATTCTTGGATCTCTGGGTTTGCAATTTTCATAAAATTTGAAAAAATAATCTTCTGAGACAGGGTCTTCCTTTGTCACATTTAAAACATTTTTGACCTTTATTTCTTCTAATATGTTTTATCCCCTCTCCTCCCATTTAGGTACTCTTATTTACATGTATATTGAGCTGCTTGAAATTATCCCATGGTTCACAGATCCTGTGTTTATTTTGGTCTATATTTAAGTTTTCTAGTCTTTTTTCTGCAGCATCAAATCTGTTCTTAACTTCATCCAGTGCATTTTTTCTCTTAAGCATTGTAGTTTTCATGACTAAAAGTTCAGTTTGGGTCTTTTAGAATATTTGTCTGGAGTTAACACATTCCCTATTTTTTATCTCTTCTTCTACATGTGTAACACAATTGTTGTATCTCCTTTAGTGTCTTCACCTACTACTTCTGTCATCTGTGTCAGTTTTAGTTGACTCTGCAGGCTTCATGAGTTTTACCTTGTTAGGTGCAGGATCTTCTTTTCTTTCTATAAATATCCTGGAGATTTTTACTGTGATTCAGTTAATTAACTTGGAAATAAGTTGATTCTTTTGGGTCTTGCTTTTAGGATTTGTTAGAAAGTTCGTTTATGGCTAGTATTGCTCTGCTACTGAAACAAACCCTTCTATGTAGACTACCTAATGCTTCCTGATTTGTGAGGTTTCCATACTGTCTGGGAGCAAGAACTACCTTGTTTGTCTAGGCTCTGGGGATTATTCCCCATACTTGTTTCATATGCTTCTAATCCTGACTCCAAGGTATTTTGTTTTGTTTTTTAATACGCACACACTGATCAGTGAGCTGAAGATACAAGAGGGACCCTCTGCAGACCTCTGGGGCCCTGACTCTATGCTGATGTCTTCTCATCAGTGCTCTGATATGCAGACTCTAGCTGCTCTAGTCTTCCTAACTCCAATTCCTGTGCACTTTCTGGTTCTTCTCTCCTTGTTCTACAGTCTGGACACTCTGAGAGCAGTAACTGAGAGTCATATGACTCACCTCATTTAATGAGTGTATTTCAGGGATCTTTCAGTGATCTTTGTCCATGTGCCTGTCCAGTTTCTTGAAAATCATTGTTTCATGTATTTTGCTTTAAAAACTTTGACGTTCCTTAATCTTTATTATAATTAGTAGCAATAGTATTATGGCAAAAACCACAAAATGTGTAATATTTTAATACATCTTTAAGTTCAGTATTGTTAACTATATGCATGTTATTATCATCAGATCTTTAGAAATTTTTCATCTTGCATGACTGAAACTCTGAAACCATTGAACCGCAACTCTCCTTTTCCCCTTTCCCTATTCCTTGGCAGCCATCATCCTACTACTGCTTCTATGAGTTTACTATAGCTATTTCATATGTAAGTGAAATTATGTCCTCAAGGTTCATTCATGTTGTAGAATATAGCAAGATTTCATGCTTATTTAAGATTAAATAATACTCCATTATATATACATACCACATATTCTTTATCCGTTCATTCATCAATGATATTTGGGTTGTTTCCACCTCATGGCTATTCTGAATAATGCTGCAATGAACAAAGGAGTGCAAATATCTCTTTGAGATCCTGTTTTCAATTTTGTTAGATAAGTACCTGGAAGCAGGATTGTTGGATTGTATGATAGTTCTGTTCTTCTGTTTTGAAGAGTCTCCAGACTGTTTTCTATAGTGGCTACACCATTTTACAATCCCACCAACAGTTCCTTAGGGTTCTTCATTTTTATCAATGCTTGTTATTTCTGGTTATGTTTTGGTTTGTTTTATTTTACAGTGGCCACCACAATGGTAAGAAGTGAAATAGCACTGTGCTTTTGATTTACATTTCCTGGTGATTAGTAATGTTGAATACATTTTCAAATCCCTGTTGGCCATTTGTGTGTCTTTTCTTGAGAAATATTTATTCAAGTCTTTTGTCCATTTTTTTAAATTGCAGTATTTGGGGGTTTACTATGTTCATCAGAGATACTGGCCAATAGTTTTCTTATATTGGTTTCAGGGTAATGGCTAACCTCATGAAATGTGTTTGAAAGTGTTCCTTCCTCTTCAATTTTTGGAAGAGTTTTAAGAAGGATTGGAATAAATTCTACTTTAAATATTTCATAGAATTCTGCAATGATGCTGTCTGTTCTTGGGAAGTTTTAGATTACTGATTTAATCTTACCAGTTACAGGTCTTTTGAGACCATCTATTCATAATTTACTCTTAAGAGGTATGTTTTTGAAATTTGTTTATTTCTTCTAAGTTATTCAGTTCATTGGTTTATAATTGTTTACAATAGATTCTTCATTTTTTTATAGTTTCATAAGTGTTTTATTGTGGACTTCCCATAGGTAATTAAAGTACTCTCCAATATCTAGGCATGTAGGTTGTTTCCTACATTTTGGATTTGCACAGTTGCAGTGAATAGTCTGGTACACTTATATCTTCCTGTTGGAAATTCAAGAATCTTGGATCATATAGGGAATTTAAGCACCAGCTAGCTGATAAAAAATTCTACTCCAAATCTAAATAATATACAGGCTCAAGAATTTATTTTCTCATGGAAAACATTTTTCTATCCCAAATTTGGGGATAAACAAATAACATTTCAACTTCTAGAGATGGTAAAGGAAGTATTTCTGGTCACTGTCTTTCTAGTTTTGACTGTTATAACAAAAATACCAGGGACTAGGTGTTTTACTTTATTTTCTTTTTTTATTTCAGGTTAATGTGAGGGTACAAAGAACTAGGTCACAATGTTTGCATTTGTTAGGTGGAGGCCCTATTGTAGTGTGTCCTGCACCAAAGAGCTATACTCTTACAAATACTCTAACATTGTGCCTATTAAATGAGAACACACCAATCTCCTCTTCTTCTCCCCTCTCCCACCTGCCCCCAGTTTGAATTGAAATGAGTTTTCTCTTATGTTGCTGTGTATTAGATCATCTACAGTTTTCATCTTAGTATTAAGTACATTGGATACTTGCTTTTACATACTTATGATACTTATCTAAGAAGAATGTGCTTAAACTCCATCCAGATTAATACAAAAGATGTAAAGTCATCTATTTTCTGGCTAAATAGTATTCCATGGTATACATATACCACAGTTTCTTAATCCATTTATGAATTGATGGGTATTTAGGTTGTTTTCACATCTTGGAGATTGTAAATTGCACTTCAGCAAATACAGTGCAAATGTTCTTAAGATAAAATGATTTTTTTCTTCTGGGTAGGTGGCTAGTAATGGGATTGTGGGATCAAATGGGAGATCTAATTTGAGATTCTTGAGGAATCTCCATACTTTTTTCCAAAGAGGTCCCACCAACAGTATAAAAGTGTTCCCTTCTCTCCATATTTATAGCTTTGGAATTTTGTGATCTGGGTTATTCTCACTGGGGTTTGGTGATATCTGAGGGTGGTTTTAATTTACATTTTTATGATGATTAGGAACAATGAGCATTTTTTCATATGTTTGTTAGCCATTCACGTGTCTTCATCAGAGAAGATTCTGTTCATGTCTCTTGCCCAGTGATAGATGTGATTGTTTGCTCTTTTTTTGTTGATTAATTTGTGTTCTCTGTAGATTCTAGTTATAAAATCCTTGTCATATTTATAACATT